CCTATTTATATTAATGACTGTAACCATTCACTTCACAGCCATATAAATCCTAAATTTATTTGATGGATAGCCAGCCTGGGGTGCTAGCTAATCTAAAGAAATCCCAGAGTTCTTTTCAGAGGCCAGATATTTGGGCAATCCTCCATTTCTCATTGCTAGGTATTTGCAGGCTGATAAGAGAGCTGAGAATCAGTTCTTTAACATTCCTTACCGTGTACCTATCACCTTATTATTCCTCATCATTCTTAGTAACTAACATCTGTTTTAAATGGAAAGTATCCTCACTTGTGTTTCTCCTGTACATCAATCCATCACCCCTTAGCCCAGGGTTGCCAAATTCCCAGCCCATGGGCCAGATGCATCACATGCTGACCAGGGCCACATTCGGTTTAGCGAGGGGAGGGAAATGTCCCAATATGTCACGTGACGCCATCATGATGATGAGAGTTTTACACCCCTGCCTTAGCTGTCTTTGGTGGAACAAAACAAACTTAAATTGCTGAAATGATACGAGTTAAGCTGCCTGTTAAATGGGATTTAAGTACATATTTCTCACAAAAACAGGACAATTCCCAACATGGGAATCTGCCTTTTTCAAAACAGACACAATTGGTTCTGTATTGTTTGGGCTCACAAGACATAAAGAATCAGACGTGGTTAGTATAGACTGGAAGAGAACCAAAGAATGTTATGAATGTTATATTAGACAGACGGGGTTAAAAATAAAAGCAAAGGAAAGAACTGTTGCAGAAGTAAAAAAGGTAACAAGCCATTCCCATACCGTTCTGCAAATGAATGTATTTGGAACAGTGTTTTTCAAACTTGGAAATTTTAAGATGTATTTTGTATTTATTTATTTAAAACTTGAATATAGCCATCTTTCAATCAACTCTGGCCGGAAAATCTGGAAGCTGAAGTCCACATATTTTAAAGTTGCCAAATTTAATATACAGTGATTTAGACACCAGAACTGAGCTTGATTCAAGGGAATTTTATCTTCATCATCATAACCCCACCATCCCTTTTCCAGTCAGTAACAACCAGCTAAGAATCTTTCTGTATATATAGAAAATTAGTATTGTTTGCCCTAATCTATGTCCCTTTACAGCTACTGTCAACATCAAAATTGGACACTGATTATTCTTATTTCCATACTATTTATGAACAATTTTAAAAATTCTCATCTCAATCCAGATGCAGGGGGATTCTGTATGTTCTACAGTATTTCAAGAATGGACCATTTTTAAAAGAGAAGATTAAAGAGCATCTTTTCTGTTCTGTTCTATTACAAAAGTTACTCATCCGTGCATACCTGAAACTTTTAAAAGTTCAGGTAAATAATATCAAGTACATTAGCCTATTCATATACCTTTCTGACTTGTTTCAGACTATATACCTTACTTAGCAAAATTGTTAGATTCAGCATTGAGAAATAAGGGCTCCTCCACAACAAAGTCTTCTTTACCCATTCTGGAGTCAGCAGAAAATTATAGCAGGATGACATTTGCTGTATCCATTTGCCAATCACTATGCTGCCTCTATTCCCTTGGTTTTACCTCATGGCTCAATAGCACTGTCCTGATTTTGCTATGCAGGATGTGAGAAGCAAAGGAATTAGTAGTCAATTCCTCTGCCTTTGCTGTCCATCCTCTTTGGTGTGTACCTAAAAAGGGAGAGGAACACCTGCCAGCAACACCATTGCACAAAAGACAGGAATGAAATAGGTCTGGCTAAAGTACCCTGTCTCATTTCTAGGCTTGTGCCTGTTTCCTTAACTACCCCCATTCTGCCATAGTCTAGGCTAAGCTGAATGACTAAAAAAAATATTTTGGAATCTCAAAAGGAGCCAAGTCTCAAGCAGCATTTTAATTTAAGATTTCTCTCCTCTTCTTCTCCTTATATAGGCAATAAATGCCAACTTCTGGATTCCTCTGTGTTCTGTTTGGGAAGTAACAGCCCCATCACTCAATTGTTTCATTATTTTAACCTTGTGCGCAACCTGTCAGGACCAGAAAGTTAAAGCACTTACAGTACTGCTGGCTGAGCAACCCAACCCTCTTGTGCTATTTTGACAAACTATTTTAATTTTAGTGGATACCATATGTATTCAGCTGGGGGAGGGCTCCCTTAGCATGCCAAAAGAACCCATATGCTAAAAAAGCTCTAGTGCGCTCAGCAAAGCTGAAAGACCAGCACAGCACAGCACAGCACTGTCTGCCACAATTGGCAAGGACTAGAAAGGAAATGAGTCCACATTTGGGTTCAAATGGTCAATAAGAGCTGTGGTGGTGCAGTGGTTAGAATTGCAAGCTAATTTTGCCAACTGCCAGCAGTTTGATTCTCACCAGCTCAAGGTTGACTCAATCTTCCATCCTTCTGAGGTGGGTAAAATGAGGACCTAGATTGTTGGGGGCAATAGGCTGACTCTGTAAACCACTTAGAGAGGGCTGTAAAGCAGTAGTGATATATAAGTCTAAGTGCTATTGTTCTGATCCTGTCAATTCTTAAGCTCTGGACTCTGCTTTCAACATAATAGAGAAGATTTTGCACACTATAATGATGGATGCTTTTAAACAACATCAAATGAGGAGGATGCGATTTTAACATTGATATAGCAAAGGATGACTTAAGCCTGGATCATTCATAACCTCATCATGAGAACATGGCAAGAAAAAAAAAGCATGTTGCAACATGGTTAGATACATGGTTAGGGAAATTATAATATGGTTTGATTTTTGAGAGGTGTGGGAAAGCAGAAGAATCAACCACCCCAATCTTAATTCAAGGCCAAATTCCTTTGTCAGTTGAAATGCTTATTAACCCAACTCTTCAGTGGCTAATTCTTGTGCTTCCCCTTCTGCCTGTAGAATTAGGTCTAACATATGAAAATGTAAAGAACAATTGCAGGAATTGGGTAGGTCTAATTTAAAGAAAAGGAGGATAGGGTGATGTGATAGCCATCCAATATCTAAGGGGCTGCCACAAAGAAGAGGAGGTCAACCTAAGAGGAAGCCAACCCAAAGCACCAGAAGGCAGGACAAGAAGGAATGGATGGAAACTAATCAAGGAGAGAACCAACCTAGAACTAAGGAGTTTCCTGAGGGTTAGAACAATTAATCAGTGGAACAAGTTGCCTCCAGAAGTTGTGGGTGCTCCAACACTGGAGGTTTTTAAAAAGATGTTCGACTGACACGATTTTATTTTATTTTATTTGTCTGAAATAATTCCTGCTTGAGCAGAGGATTAGACTAGAAGACCACCAAGGTCCCTTCCAATTCTGTTATTCTTCTACAGTACATGCCTGTCCAGTTATCCGACCGCAACCTTCTCCACATTTAACTGGGGCGCCACCGAGATTTACTGTATGTTTCTGCCGCAGCAACATGTAGACGGTTAGAATATTACAATAATAATTCCGCGGAATTATTCTCCGTAACATTTAATGGGCCGCAAAAAAACCCCTCTTCATGGTCCTCTGAGGAGGTTGCATCTCTTACATCTCTGTTCCACGGCAAGCGATCTCTCTTACAATTGCTCCAAATACCTTTTCTCAAAAAGTGTTTTCTAATTGTATTATTAAATAACAGCAACGGGGCGATCATTGCAAATTAGTTACCGCGGATAGTTTAGCGCCACCTAAGCAATCACTGCATAGCACAGGAATAAGCAACCCGCGCTCGGCACAGCGCATTACTCATCCCATGCTCGGATGAGAGCAAATTCCACGTGACGCCTGCGCAGTTGGAATCGCTTTGGGCTGATTCCGCCCTCTCGCCATTGGCTGGGCAACAAAAGTTCCGAGCGGCCATTTTAGAAACATTCCTTTCGCGGAGGGCCACGTTTCTTTCTGCTCGCCCCGCCGCTTGTCACGTGCCGCAGCGGCGGTTGCTGGAGCAGCGTCGGCCGTGCTGATTGGCTGGCGGCCTTTCCCGCCGTCCCTCGCGACGGAGGCGGACGGCTGGGCTCGACGGCCGCAGGTTGGTCCCTGCTCGTTCTTTCCCTGCTTGGTGATGGCGGGGGCCGGGTTGGGGCTCCCGTGGTTGGTATCCGCCTTGTTGGTGCTGAGTGGGGTACGAGGTAATGGAGACTTTCCGGGGATCTTCTTGTGGCCTCTTTTCCTTTCTCATCTTCGGGAGAAGTCCCTCGGCTCCCGGGGCTTCATCGAGTTTGTGGGCCCTTCCGAGGACCTTCCCTCGTGTAGCCCGCATTTCTTTCTTCTCTCCCGGAGATTTCTTCAGCTAGTTTCAGGCAGTTTCCTCAGCCCAGTTCCACCCCCCCCAACCCCCCACCGCCGTGAACATAACTCGCAGATAGTCCTAATAGTCATAATAATTAGGGGTTATTATGGAGCTCGTAGTCCTGATATATATGGTAGATATCTGGGGTGGAGAGTTTGTTAAGGTAGGAGACGCCTCGCTGAGGTACCTATTGTGTGCTAAAATTATTTCATTAGAAAAATTCTGAAGACTTTTTTTTACTGTCTCATGTCTAAGCAGGCAAGATAGGTTAAAATGAAGGCAGGAACTATGGAGAAGACAGAACAACTAGATTTTAAAAGGTTGGTTTTATTGTTAATGCACTGCTCAAAACATATTTGAAACTGAAACAGAGTCATTTAAAATTCTGCCCATGAATGCGGTATGAGATCATGAAGCTCAGTTAAGGACTTCAGTTCCTTAAGCCTCTCATTAAATGGCCTACCTTTCCACTTCAAACTCAAAATATTTTGATAAAATCTTTTTTTTCCCCCCGGCAGGTGAAACATGTACAGAACCAGTTATCTCCCCGTCCTATTATACTACCTCGGATGCTGTTATTTCTTCTGAAACCGTCTTCGTTGTTGAGATCTCCCTTACCTGTAAAAATGGAGCACAAGTAAGTACCTGAATGGGGATTTTGTTTTACACTTTAAAGGAAATACAATCTCAAAAATATGCCACAGATACAGTAAAGTGTGTTCTAAGTGATTATGATAGGACATTGAATCTGTCCCATCGTTTGCATGGCTTTGGATTTATGGTAGGTCCCTTTCCATGGGCTTCCCATAGTGGACTCCATGCCAGAGAAACTTGTCTCCCCGAACCATTGGCTGTCTGACTTACTGTGGTCCTAGCTACTGATGTGGGTGGTACATTTGAAAACAACAGAAAAGTAGGCATCTGAGTTATTTCATTGATAGAAAAACTTGAGTCCCTTCTCCACTGGATTTTCTATTAAAGGCAAGCTTGGAGGGGATGCTGGCATTTGATCTGATGGCAAGAAATGAGATCTGTCTTTCCTGTTATTTCAGTTTCCTCTTGTAGACAGTTAAGATTTCAAGATGAAAGATTGTATGGATTCCTATTACTCTGATACCCATCATATTTTTTTCTGTAGAATGTGGCCCTCTATGCAGATGTCAATGGCAAGCAATTCCCTGTTACACGGGGTCAGGATGTTGGTCGCTATCAGGTAAGAATAAACATGATTCCTGCTAGTCAATAAATGCTAATTTTACCATTTGAACAGGTCTACTATATTGGATGTCTTATCATTTTGCAAAATACTGTGTTTCTCATATAATAAGGCCGGGTCTTTTTTTTTTTTTTTTTTTTGAGCCCCGAAAAAATGGCTAGGTCATCTTTTCGGGGGTGACTTAATTCCCCCCCTTGCATCTTTGGGCGGGCGGGCGGCGACGGCTTGGATGTTGACCTCGGCATTGGTGAGGCACTTAGTATCGGGGTCAACGCAGGCAGCACCATATCCGGGTGTGCAACAAAAGTACTTCCTAACAACAAGCCCCCCCACCATTCCCCCCCATTTTGCATGTTTTAATACAGGCCTTAATTTGGGGGGAGGGGCTTAATTTCATTTCATGCCTATAAAACATGCTGGGACTTCCTATTGGAGGAGGCTGTATTGTTGGAGAAACAGGGTACTTAAATTCAATTTTTATGGAATTAGTGAAGTTATTAAAATTTGGCCTTGGTTTCATTATTAAAAATATAAACAAAAGAAATTGTCATATACAAAACCTGGTTCATAGTTTGGTTTTAAAATATGAAATTCTTACAATCTAAAAAGATGGTGATATGAAAATCATGTAACTTGTAGGCAAAATTGGGTTTTGTCTATGTTGGAAGCAGCCTGCAAGTTTGATTAAATAAGTAATATAACAATGGTTAGTCTTTAATAGGATTAATGGCATTTGAGATTAGTGATAAAGAATAAATTGCCAATCCTTAAATCAGGTAACTTTGGATAAGGAAGGCATTGGTTTTGTGCCATAAATGCATGGCTCTAGATTTGTGGTGGGTCTGATTCTGTGAGTCCCTCCTTCTCTCCATGCTAAAGGAAATTGCCATTCCGAACCATTGGCTAGTTTGGTTTTTTATAGCCCTGGCTACTGAAGTGAGTGGAACATCTCTGTTAATGTCTTTGGGTTTGTATTTATTTATATACCTGTACTATCAAAAGAAGACAGTTTCTCTCATGGCTGATCCTGTATCTTTTTTTGGGGGGGAGGACAGGTTTCTTGGAGCATGGAACATAAGCTGGCTCGCTCGGGCACCTATGAGGTGAAGTTTTTTGATGAGGAGTCCTACAGTATCTTGCGCAAGGTGAGATTGCACTGATGGATGGAACAAAAAGATACAAGTAAATTTTGTAGACTATGCAAATTTGTGATCAGTATAGGAATAGGGGAAGCAAATGTTTACATTTTATTATTAAAGTTGGTACCTTGACTTTTTTTTCAGTAGCTGGAAGCGCCATAAATTACAGGTAGTCTTTGTCATGGCCACAACTTGATGTGATTAAGCAAGACATTTAAGTGAATTTTGCCCCATTTTATGACTTTTCTTGCCATGAGCCTTCTTTCTTGGCCCATGGAGATTAAAATTCAAGAACTACTTTACCTAGTTTGACATTGAACTGAAAACACAGTCCTTATATTCTGTTCGCTGCTAGATGTTTTGTCAACCTACCATGGTTTCCTCTGCTAATACTATTCATGTAGTGTCTCTGGTGTAGGTAGATGATGTTGCTGTCAGGAAATTATGTCATGGGCCTTTGGTTAATTAATTAAAGCCTTAACTCAGCTGTTAATTCTCTTTTCTCTATCTTAGGCTCAGCGCAACAATGAAGATGTCTCAGAGATCAAACCTCTTTTTACAGTCAGTGTGGATCATCGGGTGAGTGCAGCAGTTGGGGGTATGGGGCTGCTATAATAGCTGGGCAATACAACCAATCAGATGGTTAATACTACCACATTTGGATAAACCAGGCTGTTTATAGCATATGATTGCAGTTTATGTATTCTGTGATGGTATCTTTAGTTAATTGAACCAATTATCTCTATTTACGACCAGTTGCTTAGCTTATTTATGATCCAGTTGCCTACCCCATGCCCACATAACTGCTTTTTGGGTGCTCAGCAACAAGCCTGCATTTACACTCATTTCTAGTGTCATATAGTCACATGATCATGATTGACCATGTTTTTGCCAAAAGCTGGTGTTTACTTCTGGTTTGGGGCAAAAATGCCCCATTGCGAACAGTGGGTTGGCTTAATGACTGCTGCAGAAAAGGTCATAACATAGTCACCAGATGATTTGCTTTATGACTGCCGTAGCTTATGACCTGTATGCTTGAATACATGCTGCAAAGAGTTATAATGCTCCCAATTCTCAAGGAGAATCCAGAGATTAATCCAGAGATTGATGAGATAAAACCTATATATGCTATTAAAGTAGAGGGAATGTGATATAACAGATATAAAAGGCCAGTTCATAATGAAAACTTAACATATTTTAGTGGGATTATAGTTAATGGTGTGTATGGTATAGTTAATGGTATAGTAAAGGATGTGTGTATCATTTGGTGCGTGTTGCCAGAGGTCCAGCCTCAAATATTTCTAAACAGATTGCATTCAGAATTGAGATTTTGCTGTGTCATAGAAAAAACACAGAAACAATATAAAAATGCTTTCTATATTAGCAAGCACAAAATGGCTGCCAGAGATGATGGTATCTGTATATAAAATGGCTGCCATAATGGGCCACTCATGCATCAGACATTTCATAGCAAACTAGTGAAGTTGAAAAGTTTCTCCCAGGTTGATCTGCTTAAATATTCCCCATAGTTAGGACTAGTTTTATTACTTGATTGGGGTTTCTCACACTACAGACAGGCCATATCTAGGCATAGTTCCTTATGCTTAAATGACATGTCCTGTTACAACTCACCCTTCTGCTGCTACAGTTTAGTCCCTTGTAGCTAAGACAAATTAAAAATCATGGTACAATACTGAGAAAATTCAGTTCCATTTCTTATTCTTTCCTTTTAATCATGCTGTTCATGATTCAGTATGTTTTTATTCTTTCCACCTTCCATTTGCAGGGTGCCTGGAGTGGACCATGGGTCTCCACTGAGGTATTGGCAGCATTAATTGGTATTCTGGTATATTATATGGCATTCACTGCTAAGAGCAACATCCAAGCATAAAGCACTTCAATAAACTCTCTATATACCAACTTCACTGCTTCCTGCCTTTTCTTTAGAAAGTAAAGATTTTCCCCAGAATGTCTTCAAAAATGCTCCTGTGTGGCTTGTCAGCATCATTAATTTCTATCTCATGTTTTGGTTTGAAGTAGGTCAGAATTGTAACAGTTTTAGAGCTTCTTATGGTCTGATTACATTTTGTGACGATCTTGCCACCTTTCAAAGTAGGTTTTTTGAGACTCAAACTGCCTAAACAAAGAGCTGAAAATAAAGCAATAAAACATGCTTTCCATGGAACTGGAGTCCTGGAAAGAAGTAGAGGACACACACATACCCTCAAGGTGCATATTTTGCCAAGCTAACGTTCTGAATTGTGGCTGGCTTAATATTACAGATCGGCTGTGATGGCTGATTGGCTGACCTGCTCCTGAGTTAACTGCTCCTAAGTCCATTTTCCTTTGCCATAATCCCATTAAGCAGTGCACCTCTGGGTGCAGTCAGTAAGTATACTGCACTGTAATTGTAAGCCACTGCAGCCAGGGTGGGATTATCTCATTTCTTTAAAGTTTTATTCATCCCAGATTATAAGGGGGAAATAAGTTACATAGAATGCATGGTTATCCTTATATTTGTAACATTTGCTATTTCTGCAACCCAGTCAGATTTTTAGTTGCTGCAGTCTGCATCTGAACCAGGGTTGAAGTCAAATTCAGGTTAGTTTTACAGACCATATTTATTTCTTTGTCTACTTGTCTCCTCTAATATAGGTAGTCCTTGTTTAGCAACCACAGCCAGGATCAAGTACTAGGTGGTTAAGTGCTCACTAAATGAATAGCCATGTGATTGTGTTTTCAGCTTTCCTTTGTTTTTCAGAACTGCAAAGATTGTAAATATGGTCATTGGTTACAAAGTTACTTTTTCATCACGATTGTAACTGCGGACAGTGGCTGCCAAGGCAGTCACCAAGCAAGGACTTTCTTTAAATAGAACAGGCAGTGGCTACATGCAAAATGATTCCAGAGTTTATAGAAGAACAAAATACAATATGCAATATTGTATGATGCAATATAAAAGCTAATACTAATATAAAGATGCTGATGTGGAAATACTGGAGTATCTTCACTACTGTTCTCTTGGTCACTGTCCTGTATTTTAAAATTGTAAATTTTGCCATTATCTAAAATTATCCTAAATTAGGTTCAATAGCCAAGCAAAGCCTTTGGTTCATCCAGCATACAGCTGGGTGGTACTTTTTCAAGGGTATAACAAGTGTCGGGGATATATCCCAATTTATTACTTGAGTCCTTTTTGAGATGTGATTGATCCAGACTAAGACTTCATGCATGTTTTTTATGATATTGGAGGATATTCAGAAAATATGAACATGTTTGATGACTAGGGTTTCAGAAATTATTCTACTAGTATGTCTCAGAAGTGACCCAATTCACACAGTACATATCCTAAGATATTTGGTTTATTTGACCGTAACCACTTCTAGTCCATGAACTCTGGATCACACCAGTGTAATTTTACAAAAATGCTTGTAATTTTAAAAAAAGGTTGCTTGCCTCACATTAATTGTTCGATCCATTTTTCATAATCACAAAGTTTTATTAAAATGGCTTGAGCAATTATGTAACGTGAGGCAAACAATC